AATCCATCTTATTAGATCATAGTGATTGAATTTACAACACATAAGGAAATCACATCAGATTACAAAATGGTACACAATTATACAATACTGGGAATCATCACTCAGCCAAGTTGACAGATATTTTTGGGGGACACAGTTCAATCCATGACAGACATGGATGTTTTTGGGTGTCCAGTCTGCCCTTATACATTGTGCCTACCACCCCATCCATGTTAACTTTATAAGCTTTTCACATGCTGTACCCTCTTCTTGGTATTTTCTTCCTCTAGCAGAATTGTGCTCATTCTTTTAGAGTCCAGATTATTTGTTATTTCCTGTGAGAAATCTTCCTTTCTCTCCTCTACCTTTTCTAACACATATATCTCCCTGCCCTCCCCAAATCTCTCCTCTGATTTCTCTTCGTGCTTTGTTCATACCTCATCCAGAACTAAAACCAGTTGCCATCAATTCCAACTCATGTTGACCTTCACTAATTGTGGGAGAAAGGAGGTGGTGGTTTCTATATTCTTCCCATACGGAAGGTAGGTTTCGTTGGATCCTTTGCAAAAAACACTATAAAAGTATAATGGATCATGATGATGATCTGCAGGCATTGCTTAAACAGTCCACAACACCATTCTGTGAAGGGATAAAAGAAGCATAAGAAAAAACACATTGTTTTTTCTTGTTTACTTTTCCTCTTAATCTCCTTTAATATTTTTTCCCCTTTCTCTCCTATATTTCTTAAAATCACTAATGACACACTGAAGCAGTGTATTAACACTGGGCTAAAAAAAATTGCTAACTCTGCTGTCTGAATAAATCTGCCTCATTTAATTTTTCTAATTCTTTGCCCATTTTTTAATTGGATTATTTGTCTTTTTGTTGTAGAGGTGTTGGATTTTCTTGTAGATTCCAGAGATTAGGCCTTTGTCTGACTTGTAATGTCCAAAAATTTTTTCCCAGTCCTTAGGTTCTCTTTACTCTTTTGGTAAAGTCTTTTGATGAGCATAAGTGTTTCATTGTTAGAAGATCCCATTAATCTAGCTTATGTTCTGGGGTTTGTGTGTTGTTGTTTATGGTTTGTATCCTGTTAATGCTGTGCATTAGGGCCTCTAGCGTCAATTCTATTTTTTCTTCTATGAACTTTATAGTTGTTGGCTTTATATTTAGGTCTTTGATCCAAATTGAGTAAGTTTCGTGTATGGTGTGAGGTATGGATCCTGTTTCATTTTTTTTTTCAGATGGACATCCAGTTTTGCCAGCACCATTTGTTAAAAAGACTATCTTTTCCCCATTTGATGGACTTTGGGCCCTTGTCGAAGATCAGGTGACCGTAGGTGGATGTATTTACATCTGGGTTCTCAATTCTGTTCCACTGGTCAGTGTATCTGTCGTTGTACTAGTACCAGGCTGTTTGGACTACCATAGCTGTATAGTAGGTTCTGAAGTCAGGTAGTGCGAGTCCTCCTACTTTATTCTTCTTCTTCAGAAGAGGATTACTTTAATTTGTTCAGTATCACAAGGGTCCTGATAGAAAGCTAGGATTTGAATCCAGGTCTTTGTGATTTCAGAATTTTTTTTTTCCCACTTTTTCCCCAGGTTCATTCAGTGTACCCTCAAATATTTATTGAATGAGTAAAATCTAATTTTGAATAAATACTCCCTATGTTAAACTTTTCTTTTTCACACATGGTAAATACTTTTTTTTCTTACTGATATATTGGGGGAAAAAGGCTTGTTAGGTTACTATGAGTTGGAATCAACTCGGTGGTGATTGGCAGCAACTCTTCTTCAGTTTAGTTATGGTTTAATTTATTTTATTTGATATATTTCCATTTCACTTTATCAGGTAATCACCTAGAAAATAGAATTTGATTAATACCATGGAAAGAGATAATTAAACTATGTTTCTTGTAGTTTTCATTGTTATAATTCATTTTGAACTTTAGCTGGAAAAGAA